AAGGATCGGTGCTTGTACATAGGTAGCTATGTATACCGTGACTCTCAGCAGAGATGTTGAGATCTCCCCGCGTAAAAGTTGTTGTCACCCTCGGTAAAGCTCGCGTCTTGACAACTTGGCCGATATCAGAGCATGTCTGAATGACGTCGCGTATGGTTCTATGCGATCTAGGGGTAAAGTAAGGTGCTCTGGGCAGGTGGTAGCGGCGGGACCGTGCGCAGGCATCGAGGCGCAAGTCGTGGCTTTGTTTCTTGTCCTGGAGCTCATCAGCCACTGTAAAAAGGTGGGAGGGAGGGTCTACAGCTGTCGGAAAAACTTACTGGCTTACGAAGTTGGGACCTCTCGTCCGAAAGGGACCGTGATAGAGTGGGCCATTAGCGCAATAGCTCTAGGCTTCCACATCGCTATGGCTGTCGCGTAAGCTGTTGTAATGATGCTTCCAAGATCGCGTCACCACCACAACATAACACTCTACTCTCCTCTTTCGTCTCCCCTTTCGCCAACACCACAACATAACACTCTACTCTCCTCTTTCGTCTCCCCTTTCGCCAACACCACAATATAACACTCTACTCTCCCCGCCACCCTGTCTAATCCTATATAACACTCTACTCTCCCCGCCACCCTGTCTAATCCTATATAACACTCTACTCTCCCCAAGCCAGACTGATGTAAAAGGCTAATAACCCTTAGGCGTATCAGGAAGCACAATTATATCTTCGTCTGGCTACGAGCGCAGTTATTATTGTCATAGAAGACAAACCCAGGTTCTATCTAGCTTTCAAGGAAGTGACAGAAAGCCGCTACCGAGCTAAAGAGGGCCGTGCTAATTTGAGCGATTATCATGGAAGTAACAGAAAAGGCTACGACCGAGCTCATATCAATGCTGAAAGTGATGGGAACATGGAAGCAGCAAGACTCACAACCGCATTCACTCAGCGACCAATCCCAAGGTTACGGAAAAACTTTTATGACCTTGAAACAACTGGGAACAGAAACGATTTATAAATCATTCTGCAACTGCGAGTTTAAACAACCCAATTCCTATAGCGGGATACAGCGGTTTGCAGGCGCAGCCACTTCACATCCCGGTCAATGGGCAAATACATAGTATTGCGACAACATGTCGGACAACGGATATTCCAGCTTACCAGGTATTTTCCGTCGAACAAGGACCACTTGGGAAACTTGTCAATCCAGTGATGCTCACCACACCCGGTGCAGTAGCACGGGACCTCCTGAAGGTCACCTTGAAGTTCGTCAGCGCGGCGCCATACGAGACCCTCGTATTTCACGGGGTGATTCAGGATAGCATTTCTGTATCCGGTTGCCGCTTGCGCTGCATTGCCTTTCTGCGAGATTTCCACTGCCAACCTTACATCGTTCCGTGTTGCGTGAGCAACAACCTCTGGGTCAGCGCTTTTATGCAACATGTGTACACCCAGGAAACGGCGAGGATTCTCTCTATCGCCCTGATAGATGGGCATCTGAACGTTTAAGCCAACAGCTTCTTGCTTGTCGACGTCATCAGGATACCATCCGCCGCCCTTGTCAGCAGCGAGCTCAAACAGATGGGGAATTGTCTGGAAGGCAACAACGAAGAACATCTCACCAATGTTTTTCCACATCTGCCGTTCATCCTTGGACCAGTCTTCTTCCCAAGTACACTTACCAAGAATCCCAAACTTGGCAGTGCGGGAAGAGCTATTGGACCAAATCACGTGAACGAGCTGCATACGGTCTTTCTTGCCACGAGCAGACGATGCGTGCGTAGTCTTACGCCGAGGGAACACGTCGGCCTGGCCGGCATAGAGTCGGAACCAGCTACGCACAAGATTATCTGTCAGCATGAGAAGATACCAAGCAGCACCACTATGGCAGCCATCTTCATGACCGGGAAGGCCATGAATCATTCCTTGATCGCGGATGAAGCCATGATCAATGATATGGAAGGCATCCTCACAGGATGCACGTAGCTTCTCAATCAAGTTAGCGTGGCCGTTACCCTCAATAAATGACTTGTAGTCAAATTTTGTGGAAACGGTCGTGATCCGATTGAGCGTATGAAAGAACAATCGGTTGGTTCTCTCAAGAGACCATACAATCCTAATGCCTGGTAGCGGCTCAGGCGCATACCGGCGAACGACGTTAGCCTTAGGCTTGTATTTGGAGGGGACTACTCGACGGTAAGGGTGGTACTTAGCCTTCAGAGTTGAACGCGACGAGTGGGCTTTTGAGTCGGACATGATGACAGACGGATGAATCAATCCTACACGATAGTCGAACAAGATCAATAATTGAACAAGATAATATCTTTGAACGCAACGCAGGAAGATAACTCGAGACAGTCTGTCGAGGGATTTGAAGAAGAGACAAAACATCCCCATAGTCCCCGGGAGTCAAGTCTATCTACACTCTACGAGATCTACGGCTTGGGAAGGCGTATTGGACGTCTACAGGGTGGCTTGAGAGCCTGCCCCGGCTCTTTCTAATCACAGCTCTCGTAAGGTATCCAAGTGCTATACAGAAGGAGCAGGGTCCACACGACCCGACATATCAGCTAGCGTGATAGCCGAAACTACGATGTCGAACACACGACGCTACGCCAATGGATAGCTTTTATGTCGGACCTGGATTGCATATATACCCATTGCCAATATAAATCGCGGTTTCCTTGAGGAAACCGCCATGGTGTCTTGCAGAAGGAGTATGTGGGCTCGCGTTTCGGGGGAGCTAACTACCTGAAGCAGGAGGGCCCCCTTTTCGAAGCGCTGCGGTCCCACCATGACAATAAGCAATAAGGATCAAGTAGAGCATGTCACCTCAATTCCCATAGCAGGTTATCCAAGTTGCGAAGCCCTGATATGACTGTAGAATACTATAATAACGATAGCTAGATCATCTAAAACCCATTATGTATTCGTTCCCGCTAAGCCTAACGCAGTATAATAGTGTTTGTACCTGATTTGCAACCTATTCGCGATCCTATTTAATTTTCCAGGGCTGCCAAGAGCTTTTTTGGACTCCTCACGAGGCATACCGAAAAGCTTATCAACAGTGACGGGAGTTATCATCGATGAAAACGAAGGACTCGACGCATGGGCGATGTGGTTGGAAGTTGGCTTCAGTATCGATAGTAAAGTAAGGAAGGTACCTTTTTTTTCTACAGGATCTGCACATTTAATTATGTATCTATACTATTAAATCATAATAGGATTGCTGGATGTGGATAGACGGTGCATTTATTCGGTATTACAATAATCAGAAGAGTCAAAGATCATCAATATAATTCTTACCTTCAGCAGTTCCTAGGGCTGGGTCAGTATGATAACTCGGGGGCCATTCATTTATCACTACGTCATCACTCAGTAGGAAGATATCAATATCCAGAAGTTTGAGGCGCACGCATTGTTCAATTACGTTTGGATCTAAGCTTCATCCATCTCTTGTTCGAATCGCGACTGCTCTACATCTGCAGGAACATCGAAGTTCGAACCCGCTCCTTCCCCAAAAGCGAAGGGGACATCGCCGCCGGTGTCCTTGCCACCGCTGCCGGTGCCCTTGCCGCTGCCATCGGTGTCCTTGCCGCCATCGCCGGTGTCTTTGCCGCTGCCGCCGGCGCCGGTGCTTTCGCCATGTTCTACGTATGATGAGTAAGCTCCGTACCTATCTTAGCGTTATAAAAAATGGGGTGCTTACGACTTAGGCGGCGTTGGAGATACTTAAGCTGCCGTTCCAGCTTCTTTTTTTTTGTTGCCCCCTAATTGAATAAGCTATTGTTTACATACATATTGGGTTATTGTTCATATTTACTCACCAAAGGCCGATTGTCTTTGCCGCTGTCGCCGGTGCCTTTGCCGTTGCCGCCGGGGCCTTTGCCGCTGCCGCCGGTGCCTTTGCCGCCGCCGTCGTTGCCTTTGCCCTCTAGTACGCACCGGTTAATTCGCAGTTCATAGGGGCAGTTGTATGATTCTTACTCTTCTTGATCCCGAAGGGTCGGGGGCGGGGGCCGTTGCTGCCCTGGTAGATATTGGAGTTACGAACGTTCCAAATGATATTGTAAGGCATCTGCGAGCTAGTTAGTGAGTTGCTCCTTCCGTCCTTGGGAAATTAGAAGTCCCCCCCAGAGAAGATGATAAATGCTGGGGTGGTCCTATTGGTAGGTGTGCTATGGACTATTTGCTGTGGCGGGTGAAGTAGACGAGAGGATGATAGCTTGAAATACAGAACCAGGATACAAGTGAGAAGACAACGGGGGCATTGATAGGAGTAGTTGCAAGTCTGACGAGTATCTTCACTCGAAGATATCTACTGCTCACTCGCAGTAGCAGAAGGGAATGTGTAGGTGGATGAAAATATGAAACAGCGGCCATAGGCACGTTCATAATCATTTGGATACCTAGACGGGGGGGATTTGAATCATTGGACGATTGAACTTGGATATACTTACGTTGGATACGTGTGATGAATAGAAGAAGAAAAGGAGAAGAAGAAATTTTGTGAGATTCTTTCTTATGAGAAACGCGAGCACCCATCGCTCGCTAGCACCTTCCTCAACTTTCAAGGCAACCACACCACAACCTGTATTCTCCTATGATAATATACACGAGGCAAGTACGGCATGAATATTCCATTAGAGGCCTAGCGTCAACTCTTAGGTGCCATTAAAACCTCTTTTACTACAAGGTGTAGCTGATTAATCTAATCTCACCTACGCGGGCACCTCGCCCCTCAATGGCTATATGGAGCAGTCTACATAGGTAACGTTATGTTCTATCCTACACGCACCAATAATGCTATGACTCTATGTACCTACCTACATGTTGTGGCTGTTGAATCTGTGCAAGTACAGGAAGTTGCTCCCTCGGACTGAACAATGACGCAACCGTCCGCCCAGCTTCTATTTGAGAAATAGCCTCATGACTACTTGAAACACGTATGCTGTCTCATCATTACATATTTACATAACCTTAATCAAGATTTTTACCAATACCTGATTAGGGCAGTTGGCGGAATGGTCAACGCATCTCCTGTCTGATGTCTCCTCGTTTGTGCATGTACTTGTTGTTGATGTGGCAGCGGCAAAGGCACCGGCGGCGGCGGCAAAGACAAACGGAGAAGATTCCAGGTTCGATTCCTGGACTGTCCATTTTTTCCCCTCTGTCCTCGCCTCCTCCACGAGGATGGTAGGTGTTTACGACGAGTAGATGATTGGGATCACATAACGGCGCTCGCTCTAATCGTAGACATTCATTTTATACCCATGCTTAATATATTGATCATGAAATACCAGCTGGCGTGGAGACCTTGGTAAAGCAACAATTGAAGAAGGTAATTCAGTACGTCTCACTGTCGATGCTAAAGTAATAAGCTTCGTCGTTACTGCATATCGCATAGACTTTTTATTTTATTTTATTACGGCCATGTATGCTTTGATGGAAATCATGTAGGTGGGCTTGATTCCTTCTACAGCAAGGAAAAAAAAAAGCCCAGCAGGTTCTCACTCGGATTCTGATGGGAATGGTGGAGTAGAATCACGATTCGCAGTTTTTCTTTCTTAGTGACAGAAGGGGAGTAAGGTAAAAAGGATCGGAATGGGATGTCGTACGAAACTTCGGCTCTGCCCTTGGCAAGGGGTATTCTAGATATCCCATGCGCCACGGCAAGTATAGGTATGCATCCTTTAGACGAAAACAAATATGTCCATATAGCTACAAATAACGTCGATAATACGGCCTAAATAAGCTTAATAGGAACTGAGTACGGGGCTTACGTACGTAGTAAGCCAATCGCAATTGCCTATTATAGAGCACGGGCCATATTAAGGCTAGGAATTTTTATTCATAAAAGATCACTGCTGGTCCGTGCCTTGGAGGTCATTTTCGGACTAGGGGTATGGATATCTCAACCACGCACGGACCACAATATGGTCCGGTACTTAATTGCCGAATTTAGAAAGGTATGTAAATCAAATAAGGGCTATTTGGCCCAAGCGCTATGCGACTTTAGGGTTGTCTGTATGTCCACCAACCTCCCCCCCTCCACACACGGCCAAACCCCCCGAGGTTATATTCGAATCATCTACAGCTTCCGGGGTATTGTTCAGCGTCTCAAGGTCCTTCTCCTTGCAATCCATTGCCCTTTCCACCCTCTCCTCTTCTCCTAGTCATGTTTTTACCCAACCCTATGGTATCAGCGCACGCTCGAATCCTGTGGCTCTCATCAAAAAATGTAAGTGAAGACTTCAACGAAAATCAATGCTATTCATTCTAACATGTTCTAGTCACTAGTGGGATATCATGACCCATTTTAAATATGTGCCCAATCCGACATACACTAGGGGCCGTGACTGTTCTACAGACAAGCCAAGTGGATCTGATATGTCTTTGAATGTCAAGCCACATCCCATACATACACCGCCTCCAACAACCAGCCACATCTCATACATACACTGCCTCCAACATCCAGCCACGTTCTTTGAGCCATGGCCCATTGGTGCCCAACGCTCAAGCTCCCATCGACAACCCCCATTGGCCCATCCTTTCGGAATACGAGTTAAGGCGCATGATAATTAGGTTGACTTTCGCCTTCGGGCATTTGGTCAATTTGAAACGATACAGAGAAGATTAGCATGGCCCCTGCACTAAGGATGACACGCTCAATCAAAGAGAAGCAAACCATTTTTTTGTCAACTTTTTCTGACAATAATGTTGATGGTTGTGGTGGTTTTCACTTTTTCGAAATTTTTTTCTACGGATTCGTTTTTTTTCCATTCTGGGCGCCCCCTATTTTCCCTAACTATACTACCTATATAGGTACATTCGTTAATACAAATATCTTCGTCGTCGCTGTCAAAGTTATTATTATCGTGACAACCTAAGCGATTGTACACAGCTTTGAAATCCGCCTCCTCCAGCTCCTCCTGAAGTTTTGCACCCATATCACCAAATTCGGAAAGCGGTGAGATATTGCCGCCAATCGCATACCGACGAAGGCCCTCCATAGAAATGAAAATAATTTCAGCAATACAAGGTGTATATAATTGATATTTATATCTTTTGGAAGTGCTAATTGAGGCAATTCTAACAGTATAAATCTCATTGTGGTGCACCTATTATTAGACGTGTCAATTTGATATAAAAGTGTATGAAAGCCAAAGCCTTTATCACGTAGCCCCCCAGCTTCCGCCTTCCCACTACATCACGCACTAACTGAATGGCTAAGATAGCCCCAGAAGAGTCGATTTGCTGCATTAGCTAATAGCACCACCAGAAAGGGTGCACCGGAATAAGATTTGTATTATTAAAATCGCCTCAATTAGCCCTTCCAAGAGATATAAATCTCGATTATATATATCTCGCATTGCTGAAGTTATTTCCATTTCTATGCAGTTCTTGAAGAGGGGTTGGCACTGGCTTACCGCTTTGCGAATCCGGTAAGGTAGTTGTACTATGCTCGAACACTCAGATAAGTACTCGGCACGTTGCCTCCGCTCGCTTCTCAGTAGTGTTATACCTGTTTTTCATCATTTCGGGCGATTGACTCCAGAACCGGGATGGAGGCATCTCAATTATATCATCAAGTGCTAAATATAGTCTTTCAATACCAACGCAGATATCGCTGCAGCCAGCTCATCAAACCATCGCATACAAGAACAATCAAGAACTCAGTATACGCGAGACTAGACTGGATGCAATCCAAAAAGCTTGGCACCTCCACGAGAGTCGTGTCGTCGCACTGTTGAACAACTCGGCGGTTCGGGAACCGGACTCGAAGTCATTATTGGCAATAATGGCCAAAGAATCTATGTCTAACAAGGCTGATGCTGCTAAGATCACCGTTGCCACACCCATTCGCCCTACCGTATGACAGATTGAAAGGAGCTTCATCGTTGACACGCACCGCTACTAATAACTTAACTTCCATTCGTAAGCGTTTCTCTAGAGTGTCGAGCAAGCGGCCATGGACAACTATCAATTCCTGAATAGCTGGCCACCTCAAATTCTTGTTCTTGCATCGAGAGCACTCCCCTAGTAGTGGTTGGAGAAGAAACAAAGGATATTAGTGAAGGAATTGAGTAATTAGGACTTAAATATCCGATATCTCTTGTTGATCAAAATTAGGATACTGAGTTGAGATAGATATATTCATATTTCAACGACCACCCAACCTCAATGAGATATTAATTAGCATGTAGATCCTCCACAAAGCTACCAGCCGTGACCCATGGGATATTTCGAGTTCATGTACTTGAGGTTTTTCAGCTCAATCGCCAATCAAAAGTAGCTTGATAAGATACTGCAAGTTGGTGACCGAGCTAAATCTCGGGCACCTAAAATTTATGAGAGGTTCAACCTATCGGATACTCGACTTATTTCACCATTGATAAAGACGATGGTGACTAAGGTGTATATATTAAAGTTAGTGGATTACGCAGGGCTTCCAATTAAGCGTCTTTGGTATAGGTGGAAAACGTGGAATACTCGTTCATACTAAGCTTTGGTTGGCCGCGGATTCCATTATTAAATACATAGAATGTGAAATTCCCCAGTCTTGGAAGTCCTTCTACACCGAGTTCGCCATGCCCTCGAAATAATCCCTCCGAGCAGGCTAGAATAGCCATTAGCCGAAGCGACACACCTTTAAATTACCTTGGGATCAAAAAGCCATTCATACAATATTTTTCTAGAGAATCAACCATTCCTCGATCTGTAGTTCTACGCGAAAGATGCGCCTGAAAAAAGCCGGTGGGGTTTTCCGAGAATTCTCCGATTGGCCCACGCTAACCCCGCAAGAAGCTTATAGGATTGGCTAGCCAGCAACCTTTTGCCTTCGGGCATTTGGTCAATTTGAAATAATACAGAGAAGATTAGCATGGCTCCCTGCACTAAGGATGACACGCTTATACAAAGAGAAGCAAGTCAATTTTTATTTTTATTTTTTTCTTTTTAGGATTTTTTCCCCTTAAGTTGTGCTAAAGACGCAGCATAATCACATTTATCCCACTAGTTTCTATGCACGGACCGCAAATAGATCTATGCGTATGGCCTTTATTGTACATACCGCTTCGTGGCTTCAGGAACACGTACAATTGAATCAATCTTCTTCCCTCATCTTTCGCTTGTCAGTGCAATAGAGTTTTGAATTTTCTCCTGGTCAAATTCTACCTCCTTTCATAAGTAGACCTAGTCCAGTAATATCGATGCAGCTATCAATCTAGTATCTGTAAATTCTGTGCAAGACCTCGCCTCAAATGCACGACAATGCAACGCCTTTGCTCGCATTGATTCTGAAAACGCCACCATCGCAGGTTACACGAACTTTCTAAAGGACGGATCTGTCTAGGAAAACATCGAGATACCTTTCCTGATGAATACATACGTGTTGATTTCAATTATAAAAATGTAGCCAAGTTGACTATCTACCCAGCGAGATACATACGAAGGCCTACTCTATGAGCGGCATCTAACTAGGTAGTTGAGTGCTGGGCCCCCTATTTAGTCGAGTGGCTATCTAATCCTCATTGATAGAGGACACACTTGGCAATGTAAAGCCTCCAGCGCCGCAACCTTTTCTGGGTCGATTAATAAAAAAAACTAATAGCCCTTCCACTTCTTCACAAGCTCCGATTTCGTCTCTTCACTCAACCCGCGTATGCGGCTAAAGTCGAGGCCGTTCCGTGGCCAGTACCCACTTCCGCCGCTCAAGTGAATATCTTTCTTCCGTTCTTGGAACACCAACACTTCGCCACGTGGCCACGTCCTTCGGTACGACTGGAAGTAATGTGGTTTATCTCTCAGCTCTTTGAGTAATCCTTCAAAGTCCACTTCCGAGACGTCGGCGTAGTCCCATAAGACATACCCGCCTTCCAAGAGCTTCCAGTCCCTCGTGCAGGCCACGCTGCAAAGGATAGAATGGCCGAGGTTGGCTCTATACCAAAAATGGTATGGATCCGAGGCCATCGAGTCTTGTGCGCCGTCTGATGGCCGTGCCAACAGCTCGAGCTGTGCAGGCGAGTAGTCTTCAAGTAGCGTTCCTCCCGGGAGACCAAGCCCGAGGAGCTCTGCATAGGGCGAGCACCCAAGAAACTGCCGGCGAGGATTGCAGTCGGCCACCCTGACTTCATTGCCGTACCGTCCAAGAAGATGG